AGGCCCACTAAGCGGAGCCTGAATTTAAAAGAGCAATGTGCATTCAGCAGTTAACTTTAAAAAGCACAAGATCTTTCCAGCATTTTGGAAATCTGTCCATTTTGTAGGAGATCTGTCCCGTTTGTTTTGTTTTTCTGAGATCTTGCCTCAGATTTGGAATTAAATGCTGCTTTTGATTAAATACCAAATGACAGGAACTGCATCTTTGATGAATTAACTGGTAGAAGATGCAACTCAGTAAATAAATGTCCTTTGCAGGAGTATTGAACTTGCTACTGCAAGTTGCACACACCCATCTTTCGTGTTGTCATATTTTCCTGGATATAGTGTGTTCTAAATCTAGGGAAGAAATCATTTCAGTATGGCAATGGCTCATTCCATTTCTATTAAAAAATGAAGTATCGTGCACTGTCACTTTTGGGAAAGTAATTAAGCTTCTACATAGATTTATGAAGGCACCATCAATCCCCACCACTAAATTTGTTGTGATCTAGTCAACAGGGATATTGCATTTAGTATGTCTTTAGATATAATGTCTGGGATACTGTGAAACACACTTTACCTTAAATAATCCTCTATTTCTTACAGGCTTCCTTCATCCTTCCCTCTCCCCCATAGCATGACACAAAGCATGTCAATACAATGATGGGGCAGAGAAGTGAAAAACTCATCCATCGTGGATTTGGTCAGATGACGTTATTCTCAATAATAATATATTTACCAAAAAGTTCAGTTTTTACTACCAGCGTATGAATCAGGATAAAATTAAATTAATAATTTTGAAATGAAGATTAGAGAAAGAAGATTAGAAAAGTCGAAGCTTTTTGTTCTGATATTTTTAAAATGAAATAGCATTTCTCTTTAAAACCCATTCATTTTGAAAGCCAGCAAAATTATTTTTAAAAGGTTTTATCTCATGACAAGTAAATGAAATGCCTTATACTAGGTCAAACAAAATATTTGTTTGATCAAAACTTTTTTCTTTTTTTTTTCCGGATTATGCAGTTTTTGCAACTATATCAACTATGTAATTATTTAAATTGAAACAATATTGCCCTGATCTATAATAGTATAGACCAATACTAATTTCTTTAATACCCACCCACTAACTTTGGAATAATATCAAAGTATCTGAGCTAGTATCCAAAATGTGATCAACATCACAGCATAAAATGCAGTTTATTCCACTCTAATTAGGGCAATGAAAAGGTAGTTATAATTAAATCCTTCCTTTGAGCAATATTTTCTTTTTTATTGAATACTGTTTGAAAACAGGAAGATAGGCAAGAAACAGGAACTGGAAATTATTCCATCTCATGCAAGAGTGATTGTCAAACAAATGCATAATTCTGTTCATTGTTTTTAAGAGAGCTGATTAAAACCTTCCCTCATCAGTTCAAACAATCTGTACACCATGGCTGAAGTTCAAGTGATGTGTCTAAATCTGGTATCTGGAAGAGCAAAGCAATAACAACTGCAGACAAAAATCTGTTAAGAATCCTTCAGCAGAAAGCACTCTGGGTGATCCTTGGGTCCTGTACTTAGCTGACAACTTCTTGTTCAGCCTTCACCACAGCACTGTCCTGTTTCCTGGAGTCCTGGTACATTTCTCAAAACCACATTCTCCGGTTTGATATTTCAGAAGCAGGCTCTCATGGTGCCAAACATGAGGTTTGTTGCAGCTGTCACTGCTGTTATGGCCTGACAGCCGCTCACGTGGCCCCAGGGTCTCCAAACCTCAGGCTGCTCTTTATCTGCAGTACAGCTCTGGGAAAGGTGCAGGCTTTGCAAACGTGGCAGAAAATGGACACCCTTTTGTTAGGACGAGAAATACACAGCTTTACTTGGGAATACTCAGTTTCTGCCTGCAAGTTTTGCCTCCATTTCAGGAACCAGGGTCTAGATGCTCCTCTTGGTGTATGTCAGTTCTCAGTCACAGAGACCTGGGGCCCAGAGCATGAAGGCTCAAGGAAGTAACAGTGAAGAGAAACCCTTTCTTTCCATAAGATTCTGTTTCCTTAGTAGATGATCTCTTGAGCAGGTTTATTGGGTGATCCACTGCATGTTTCTTCTAGTTGAGTTCAGAGCTGATAAATTTGGACTTGCCCAATGTAATAGGTGCTTCCTATAATCTAGGGCTATTCCACTTAAAGTGATGATCACCAAAGTTTAATACTATTCATTCTCAGGCAGTCATCTGTGTTTAATAACACTGATTTAAGTGTCCCATCTAAGAACTTCATTGATTCTGCTTTATGAGTTCTAGCTCAACAGAGCTAGAACAGCCAGCAGAGCTAGTTCCACCTTCCAAGTGGGCTTTGCAGCCTAGCATGGACATGGAGGGCACAATGTGAGCAGTAACTCCAAGACAGGCCCAGGCAAATTCCTCTAGCTGCCAAAGAGCTTCATACTGCTAAACTGAGAGGAAAATATATGGCAGGCAGTTATGCTAGTGTTGGTACTGAATTCAGGTAGTGCAGCTTACGTATGGCTGTGTGTGAGCAATAAGTGTTCAAAACAAGTCTCTAAATCCCAAATGCTGTGTTTGTGGTTTCATATTCATTTGCAATTATTCTTCTTTTCAATCTACTTCTATAAGACCACATACCTTATGAATATTATCATATTGCATTGCAATCATATTATTGTGTTATTGTATTATTTTATTATTGTATTATTGTATTATTGTGTTATTGTATTGTATTCTCCATTCTTGACAAAGATTGGAGAATCTTCAAGCAACCTCTCTCTTGGCAGAGGGTCTCTTTCAAAAGTATCTTATTTCAAGATCCTGCTAAGGGAATATGTTTGGATTGTGTTTCTGATGTCATAGGCTACACTGATAACAATCATATTTGTGATATATCTTGAAACAGGGAAATACCAGGAAGCATTACACATACTGCATTCATCAAATGCATTAGTATGACCTGCCTAGCCAAAGCAACCCCCTTAATAGGAATATTTAATATTTAAAACAACACTCTGACTCTGTTTTCATTTTAGCTTTTCATTTTCCCTCAAAACATCAGAAATACTGTACATGTGCAACTGAAGCCTGTCTTAAATTAAATTTAGACCATGTAATTGTGAGGACTGATGCTTGCTCACTTTGGGTCACTAAATCAAGTTGAATTCTAGCCTGATACATAAAAATATATATATAATTCTCTCCTTATTAAATGATAATCACACTGAATATTTTTTTCCTTATAATTATGTCAAGCAAATTTACTTGCAGCAAAGAATAACACAGAAGTAAACACAACCTTAATCACCACTGAAAGCCCCTCTAATGCCAGAAGGTATTGCTGTCAGTCATCAAACTAGATGTATAAAGTTACCAGCCCCTAGAAACGGTGAGCATCATCTCTCTGCTGCAAAAAGTGACCCCCCGTCTAAGAATTTCACCCAGATGTAGAATGAGTTTGAATTAATAATCACATTTACATTTAAGTAATGTAACTATCCAGCTAATCCTATTATTCCTTTCATATATACATACTGCCTTATAAAAGTGTTAGAGATCAGCATGGTTTATTGCCATGACAACCAGACACAAGTTCCCCATTGCAAACACTTTCCTGTTCCTCTGTGAAAGACCTTTAGAGGCAAAGAGCCCAATTCTTTTTTTCTTTTTTTTCACCAGAAGATTAAGTGATAATCTTCTGGTGTGCTGGGCAAGTTGACTCAAGGCCCTGCCAAAAGCATTCATCACTGCCATCTCATGATGCGTGTCAACCTTTTGTGGATGATGCCCACTTTTGCATGATACAGTCCTTCAAGCTCAGAGGCTTTGTTTCTCTTAATAAAAGCAGTGACTCCAGGGACTCTGAATCAGTGATGAGCAATATGATGTTCAACTTCATCTCTTTACTCCCAGTTCCTCTACTTCAGTCAGCCTTAAACAATTCCTCTCCTTTCCTAGAGTCTGTATCTTTCTGTCTCTTGCCAGCTGTGGCCATGCTAGGTTTAAAATGAGCTATAGGCTTCTTGCTCTTTTTATCTTTCCCTGTAAACTGGTCCCTCCAGTACCTCCTTGATACTACAAATAAATAAATAAAAAATCTTAAGCATTGTTATTCCTTTTCTTCCTTTTTATTAGCAACATTTCGGAGAGTCTAGAAGGCCTCTTGTATTTTACAGTTGGTTGCTGACATTAATCTTGACTGAACTTCATTAAATTTTGCCTTTCTTTGCTCCCCTTTTTTCTCCATTTTCTCCTGCCATTTGCTGCATGCACTACCAAGAGGGTGGCTGTCAGGAGGGACCCAGATTTTCCCTCCAGCTCATTGGGTTATATCGGGGTGCATCGTTCAGCTGCTGCAGGCTAGAGTTTATGCAAAGGAGCCCAAAGTGCTCAGGCCAAGCAGGAGCCTCACAAGCCCCAGCAGTGGGACTGCTGGCCAGGACTGAGGGATTCTCTGCAGAATGAACCTGCTACAGAGCTCATGTACAGCCTAGCACATGACCCATCAGATGTGATGGCTGAAACAACAGGCATCTGATGGGGAAGACCCTGCCTTGTGCACGTCTTCATTGCACTGTTCAGTAGTTTGGCAGTGAGAGCCTTTCCTCCTGCACTTCCCATCCAACAACATGCACAGCCTCAGCTCTGGCTGGTCTTTCCTGGGGAAACAGCCGCCCAGAGTGTTGTTGTATGACTCCAGGAAGAGACCCTGAACCTGGACTTCAGTGAGTTGAATAGTCCTTGACTTAGCCAAGGAGGGCCTGGGAGAGGCCGACTTACTATTTTCCTTTTAAAGATGAAGAAATGAAGCCTTCAGATACCCAGGCACTAAGGCAGTGGCCTTGTGAATCAGGTGGGAAGACATGTTAGGTGCCTGTCTCAAGGTTTCCTTGACCACAGAGCTGATGGAGTTCAGAAATGAGTGCCCATGAGGCAACAGCTGAGGGAGCAGCTACACCAGGCCCCCAAAACATTTTGTCCAAAGCCACATTGCTGAGCAGGGAAAGAAGCTCCAGGGAGACTAGAGTTTATCACATCAGCTCCACCAGGTGTCCCACATGCCAAAGCACCTCTGTCAAGGCTTTAGGTTTGCAGCTGGAAGTTTTTGCAACCTGTTTTCTCCCACAGTTTCCTAATTTCTTCACTGTGCCTACCATTAAACACTGCTGAAATTGCCTGCAGCTGTGTCCCTTAGTACTTTATGGGCCCCAGGCCTCAGGTTTTCTGTTAATCTCTGTATTTAGCCTACAGCTGTTTGGATCACTGGTGGGTTCAGCAGAAGGAGCAGATGCAATAACTCATGAGGTGTGAGAAGCACATCAGTATCTGCCTCTGACCTCTGATTTTCCTTGTTGTCTGGGCCGTGTGCCACATCATCCTGTTCTGTGAGTGAGTCCCCTTCAAAATCTCACAGCTCAGGAGAAACCAGGTCAAGGAAGAGGAGGATCTGAAGTGGGGACTGAGACCAAAAGAGCAGGTGAGTGATGGCAAAGTTGCAAAGAGTATGTTGGAGATAGGCGGGATGCAGGTAGAAAGGCAGGTCAGCACCAGATGGAGCTGGTGCAGTTAGTGCCAGAGAGAGGGACAAGGTGGGCAGCAGCATTTTTACAGACTGGTGGGAGAGAAACATGTGCCAGGAGGCATAAGAGCAGGGATGTCTAGCAGTCAAGCTGGGAGAGGCTATAATTTAAATCTAATGGGCTACAAGGATGTAGGGTTGGAGGCAAAGGAACATTAATGTAATTTTTCTAAATCCCATACTAAGAACTGGATTCCTCAAGAAGTCTTGGGATTAACTGATAGCACCAAACAAAATATGCAGACATAGCTTGCATTTTTCACAGGCTTTAGCTACGTTAATATCTCAGATAATAGGAGGATGTCAGAATAATTTAAACACTCAGAAGCCTTCAGAACTTGAAAAGCTCTCCCAGTACTTAATTAGAGCTAGCTATTGAATTTGGAAAACAATTTCATTATGGGCTCTCATTTTTTTTATTGTTTCTTTCACCTGCCGTGCTCCATACCAGCCTTCAAATGTTCTGTGGGAGCCACAGGATCCCCTTTACTGGGTAAGACCACCAAGTTCAGCATCTCATTTTTTCCAAAAGTTTCAGGAAAGTACATTCTTCTCCAGCACTGCAGCCTACTGGATCAGTTAGGCTAGCTTTAGCTACAAGGACATGGCTGGAAAACCCCATGCCTGGTTTCTGCAACCCAAAGCTTTACTACCCAATTAATCAGAACTGCAGACAATGCAGAACTAAGCAGCTTAATGTGTCCCATAAAGATAGCTAAAACCCCATGAGATTTCAGTCACAAGTTCATCCTCAGTTCTTTCTGGGGAGAAATGAGGTAGAAAATAACAAAAAACAACAGCCACCATTTTATACTAGATGATGGTTTTTAGTTAATTCAAAACACTTCAGGAAACCAGTTTGCTTTATTTAGTGTGTCACTTTTTTAAGGGGAAGAATAACAAGGAGAATATCCCAGTAACTTTAAAAGCCAATAATGAATTGAACATTGGACTACCCCAATGAAATGTTCTCTTCTGCATTTTTATGTGTAGGATATTGTGATAAGGGGAGAGGGGAGTTCCTGATAAGAACAAACCCATGGGTCATAAAGTGAAAATATTTCACAAACTGAATTTCCACTTTCCACACACCTGTAGTCATAGATTTCCTTCCAAAAAACATAGGATTCAAGAAAGCTGAATATATCATAGACTCACAGAATATCCTGAGATGGAAGAACTGAGTCCAACATCCCTAAGACCATTTGTGGATGAGCCCATGGGAGGTGAGGGAGCTGTGGGCACAGGCTGAGCTGCTGATGTACCAGGTTGGCAGCTCACGTCTGCTTCTTTAGGAGGTGGAAGGGAAGTGATAGCTGTCCCTTAGGCTGATTGACTGCTACCCTCCATTTTTCCTGATCCTTGGAATTGCCCTTTCATCATTAAAATTTATAAGATCTCTCGTCCCCATTTGATTTGATCCCCATTGAGATTTCAGAGTCCCCTGGCCTGTGAGTGAGTACCTGTGCTGATGGGGATCTTCGTCTCCACTCTTCAGCATATTTAGGCCACGGATGTCTTTGTCCTCCTCTGCTGCAGGTGTACTAGCTGTACTATCCCTCTCTTTACCAGAAAATGTTGGGGAGGTGGGGACACACAGACACACACACACTTTCTGTAGTGAGTTATGAACATCCCAAGCACCTCCTAACCTCTCTTCAGTTCAGCATTAGGTTCCTCTTCTGTCTGCATCCACCCTTCCTGAGGCTACTGCTCTTGGTGCCTGTAGTGGCGATGAAATCCTCCGTGCATTATTTTCTGCAGTTCCACCAGCACCTGAGGCAGACCCTGCCCCCCCATACCCTCAGAGCTGGGGGGCTCCATGGGACTGGGCCCTGCGTGGAGGGCTCAGGGCACCTCTCTGCAGCAAAACAGGTAGGGTTTGTGTGTCCTGAATTTAGAGCATCAGAGCCTAGAGGTCTTCAGCTGAACTCATCTCCCTTAGATCCATTTAGGAGCATTGGGAAAGGCGAGGCACCCACATAGTTTAACCCAACCAATCTATTTATGCATCTGCTTTAGGATGGAATGAATTGTGACCCAGATTCTCTGACTACAGATACACAGATTGTGGTGACCAACTCTGATAAAGATGTCTACAAAACTGCCAGATGAACCGCACCCTGTGAGACAAGCTGCTTTGAAAGTGTGTGGTTAATTCTGCAATCTCCCGAGACAGGTCTTTTTCTGTTTTACTTTATGTGAGCTCAAGGCAGGTTGATAATAAATTGAAATTTATTCTTAAGTTAAATAAGAATACTCTTGCAACACACGGCACCAGGTTGAACCAAAATGGCACATATTCTTATGCAGATAAAGCATATGATGATCTTTGATCTGTTTGTTATGAACAACTGATTAGAATGAAGCAACTTTTGCAATTAAAAAAAAAAAGCTTTCTCCTGTAAGACTGTCACCATATCAATGTCATCCATGTGGACGTTCCTCATAAACAACCAAGGATTTTCTCATGTTGTTTTCCCCCCTTCTTTGTTTTTTAAACCTTCTTGCTTGATCCAGAACAGCTCACCCCTGACACACGCATTATTCACAGTTCAGAGCTGGAGCCATGTCAGTTATCCCAGACATGCCCCAGAATTGTTGTCTGTGGGCTGACATTTCTCTAGCCAGAAGGACAGCAAGGAACAGTCACTCTGGCCATAAATCCCATGCACAGATAGCAGCTTAGAGAAAAGTCAAGGACTGGAGGATTTTCCAAAATGTTAGCTTTCTTTACAGGTCACAATGATGTCACGAGAGGTTCAGTTTCTGGGTACAAAACAAGCTATTGCAAGGTTCAGGGAAGAACATACATTTGTTTTAGAAGACAAGGCTATTGGCCTCAAAGCTTGCAGAATCTCCCTTGCTGAGACAACACAGGTCAAATTCAGGTGACTTGCCTGTACAACGAAATTGATGCACCTGATGAAATGTTCAGAAGGCGCTGATCTGTGTGAACTCCCACCTGGGTGTATTGAGTTCATAGAGCGATGCACAATAGCGCAGGGATCTGAAAGGACCGTGTTCACACAGTTACACAGATGCCCTTTCAAAGAGCAGGCTGTCAGCTGGCTAAAACGTGAGAATTGTGCTGAAAGACAGACTTCTGAAAGGCATCTCCATCACCTGAGCCAGGCAGCCTGAATCTGCTCTCCCCATGGCTCCCCCCAGAACTGTTCTCACCATCCTCTGCAAACACTGAGCACAACTCCCTGTAGAGAGTCCAGCATTTTCACTCGTTGTGCTCCTCTGCAAAATCCTGAGCAACAGGCCAGGCTGTTTCAGGCCTTCAGATGTTGAGGGCAGCAGCAGCAAGATGCAGGGCTGGCAGCAGCATGGTGAAAATCTTGTCTCTACATTAAAGTTCTTACAAAAACAAGCCTTTGGGGAATAATCTCATTACAGGCTACTATAGCCTCATTATCTTGCTCTATAAGTGTACTCCCTTGGTATTACCTCACTAGTTTCCTGTGTGCTGTGAACCTGTTGTTTCTCTCCTGGTCTTTTGCCTTGCACTCCAATTATAGGTGGTTTTGGGCAGGCACCATCTTGTGGAGACGTTTGTCTGGAGGGACCTGCTCTGCAGTGGGGGCTTGGAAGTGCTTCAGTATCACAGGCAGAAAACAACCGTCCTGTCCTTTCTGAGCAGCCCTGGGCTCTGGAGGTAGCTACTCAAACTGTGAGTGCTAAAATAAGGACCATCCAGAAGGAAAAGGCACAGGTGTTTTTTTTTGTGATGGCCAACCAGTGCCAGAGCACCACATCAGCTCAGGGTGGCTAATGGTATGGGTGGGCAATATCACTGCCATCTCGTACTCCTGCAAAACAGAAAGGAGTGTTTGGATGTGCAGAAAAGGACACTTAGGAGACTCAGCTCCTCGGGAGCCTGAGAAGACTGCTCAGGAGGAATAAACCTGGCAGCAATGTGACTGTCTCCTTGCTCAAGGAGTTCGCGGACAGGCTGCAGAGGTGGCAGTGGGGGGGCAAATGAAAACAGAGAGGCCCTCCAAGCAAAAGTAGGCTATATTGCAGAGACACAGGCAATAATAAATGGATCAAGGTGATACATGGACGTGGCAAAAAGAAGTGTGAGGAAAACCTTGAAGCTGACAAAGGAGAGACATTTGTCAGGGAGACTGCCAGGGTCTGAGTGTGACCCTGGGAGCGCAGTCAGAGTGACAGGTCTGGAAGACACCCCCAGCACCACCTGTCATGACTGTGATTAAAGAGATTGGTAGAAATGAGGGCATTATTTCTGTGGGGGCTCAGAACTCTTTTTTTGATCTGCAAGAGAACAAAAAAAATAAAAAAAAATCTAAGGGGATAAAGAAGAGGGGAAGAAGAAGCAGTAAGGAGGGAACCACAGAGACAATCAGGAACTTACAAGAGGACCGACACAGATTCCTTGTTAGAGGTTTACAAGGAGAAGAGCTCCTCACATGATTAAAAAAAATAATAATAAATTGCCATCATCACCATCCTACTGACAGATTTTTGCTTTGAGGAATATGATCTATAAAAATGAGTATGGCTCAGGGATAGTTTTTCTTCCTTTTCTGTTATCACTACAGACCTCAGCTAGCTAAGGCAAAGGGCAAAGTCCATAACTCAGTCTATAAGGCAGTCACTGTGTATGGAAAGTTCACTCAGTTATCCCCCCAAATAAACCTATAAAAACAGTCCTTGAAGGTGAGCAATCCAGGAGACAGTCTTCCTGGATAAGGCATTTTTATGCTACCAAGAATGATCATAAACACACTTGATGCAAGGCTAAACGTGTCTTAATTTTTTCCAGTTCTAGATAACAGGATTGGTCTTAATTAAAAGGAAAAGCAGACTGAGCCAAAGAGCATGGAGAGCTAATCCGCACACAGCCTGCTGGGCAGAAAAGCCCCACCAGTTGACTTGGAGGCACAGCAGGGACCTGGCAGGGTCCTAGCAGTGATGACAGCCACGACTCTGTGCAGGAGTAGGGGCATTCCTTTGATAAACACACTCCTGATCTGTACGTACTAGGCCTATCTAAATGACATTTTTGGCAACACATGCACAACCCGGCACAAGCTGGAACAAATACGGGCATAATCCTACCAGCAGAGGGAATCAGGCAGATCCTGAAGGTCTGAGATACTTATCCTCTTACTAGAGTGCATTGGGTGGGAGGAGATACCTTAAAAAGTTAAGTATTAATGGTCCTTTCCCCTCATAGCTCTTTACTCAAGGACATCACAGCTGCAGCAAACAGTGAACTAGCCCATCAAGAGGGAATGGAGATTATCAGTTCCTGAAGTGGACATTTCTTACTCTCACTGGTCAAGTGAGAAGCTAGAACACAATCTCAAGTTTCACTGATGAGGGTACGGAAGAATAGGTTTCCATTTGAAAGTGTATTTATACCATAAGGTTTATTGAAAAGCCCTTGTGGCAGTGAGATCTAAATGTTTCATTAATGAAAGAACAGCAGATGAATAATCACAATAAAAGTGTCTGTTACCATGGGACAGGGAAACAGAAACACAATGGGCACTTGATGAGTGGCGATTAGTCTGGCTCCACAGACTATTTGGGAAATAGAGAAAAAAAAATGAATGAATTGTATTAAAAGCCAATGTCAAAAGAGACAGTTGGGAAGCTTAGGTCAATGAAATTAAGGATGGTTACACCAAAAAGAGAGGCTGTCTCTGCGGATCTATGATTGAAGTGAAACTTGAAGTAGAAGTCATGTCTATGAGCCTGTAATTACAGGTTGTCAGGCATCGCAGGGATGCAGAGGGGCTGAACTCAGACTGTGTATACCTCCCACATGGTGTTTTCTGACTCTTTGCAATTGTTCAGCCTTATTGTTTTCTTAATACATTCCCCAAACCCTGCCCAGATATTCCCAGCTCAGCAATCACTATGACATTTGCTGCCTGAGGGGAACCCAGTAGCTGATGCTGAGCCAGCTGTAGTCCCACACAGCAGCATGGCCGAGCTGGCTGCTCCAGCAGTACCTGGTGACCTTCTGAGGTCTCCCTGTGTAAAGTGGGACCTTCTGACCTAGCCACAGCCAAGGAAGAAGCAAAGGAGACAGACGTGAAAGTCACACCTGGATGTGCCAATGCTGACACAACTGGGAAAATTGAGTTAAGACTGTGAATATGGAAGAGAAAAAGAGTGAAGCAAATATACCTCTTTGTAGAAGAAAGTGACCCACAGGAAAGCGGGCACAGCCAGGGGACCACGGCCCCAGCAGCTCTAAGGAACTTTCCTGTGTACAGTGGACATGGTTCAAGGTCTGGACCGTGCCTCATCATTTTGGTTAGTGGCTCCTACATCAGTCACAGGGCCCGTGCTGAGCTGATCTTGGAGGAAAAGCTGTGGAGATACAAGAGCTAATTTCAGGACATACAGTAGTGGCCTTACTCCATTGTGAGAATGAGCAGAATTTTTTAGAGCTAAAAACAAATGGAAAGAGACAGAATGGGTAATCATCATTTGGGGAAAAAAAAAAAGAAAAAAGAAAAAAGTGATTGTTATTTCTATATAAATTGCAATTATACACAGCAGAACCATCATACCTGATGTGTTATGCAAAAATTACATTTAAGGTAATACAAGAAGACAGTTTATCTAATAAAAAGGCCAGAGACATTTTATACTGCTTCAAAGGAAAGGGACACTGAAGAAGATGTTTAAGTTTTTCCGCATACACAGTCAATTCAAGTGAAACCATCCATGTTAGCAGCACAGAGAAAATTGTCTTTTTTTCTCTACAGCAATAGAGTTGTTCAAGCTGCTAAGGAATGCCCCCCCTCCCTCATCCCCCAATATACTTTAGATTATATTTCTCATGACCTTTGGCTAAAATTAATAGAAGAAGATATCCAGAACAAATTTTTTAGTAGATATGGTAGTAATATAGAGATGTTAAACAGTGGGCCACTCTTTATTGGGAATTACTGTGATTTTATTAATGGAATACGTCTAATGATCACTTCTGCTAAAAATAAAGTGTAATCAAGAAAGCCATAATTAAAGTATAGACCAGTCTCTACTTAGAGCATTCAGATCCAGATAGAGCATTATTACTTTTTATATAACACTGATGGGCTATCACCAATACTGGGTTAGAAACTGTCATTTCTACTTGATGGGAAAAACAAGCTTAGGTCAAGCAAACACAGAAATATTTTAGAAGATATGGAAAAAAATAAAAGCAAGAAAAGATAAAAGATACTGAGACTCAGTCTGATATTTTTGATTTAACCCCTAATGGAACACTTCCTTTCAGAGAATTTAATTCCTTAAAAACAGTTTGCTATTCTTTGTGAAATTCAGATCAGTTATTAGATGAAAAATATTTCTGATGAAAAGAATAAAAAAAAGTTCAATTTGAAATATCAAACAAAAAGTTTTTCATGTTGTCTTCTAAAGTACATCATGAAATGTGTCAGAATGAAAAGTTTTTCCAAGTACAGAAGTATTTATTAATTTGTGATCTAAATTCAAACTTTCACCTCTCTAAAAACCCATTGTTTTCTCTAAAACCAACCTTTATAGCAAATGTCCTATATGTAAAAAATAAAAAGACCTCCACTCTATTTAACCTATTCTGTCATTTTGTACAACAATGTACAAATAGGATTTTCTCTCTATGAAAATCCTATTTTTTTCCTCTTTTCTCTAAGAAGCTCACATCAAAGAAGTTGTGTTTATATATAAAAGGGGAGAAGGGGAGACAAAGATGTGAGAATGTC